CACTAATTGAAAGTTGTAAAGCTCGTCAAAACGCATCTAATAGTAGTTAGATCATCCAAATCAGCCCAGTGGATAGCAAGATATCATCAAAAAAATGATTGGCTGACTATATAAAATTCTGTAACAGAAATCTCTAATGAAAATTACTATAGGCGAAATCTGGCGTGCTTCCATCTAAAACTTTTTTCTAACTAAGTTTATGATACATGCCCACTAATTGAAAGTTGTAAAGCTCGTTGAGACCATCTAACGGTGGTTAGATCATCCAAATCGGCCCAGTAGATGTGAGATATTGTCAAAAAATGATTGGCCAACTATATAAAATCTCTATGTAAACAAATATTGTTTATATAAAGATTTTATATAGTCAACCAATCGTTTTTTGACAGTATCTCGCTATTCACTGGACCGATTTGGATGATCTAACTACTGTTATATGCGTCTCGATGAGCTCTACAACTTTCAATTAGTAGATATGTATCATAAACTTAGTAAGAAAAAAGTTTAGATACAAGCACGCTATATTTCGCCTATAGTGATTTTTATATGAGATTTTCATCACAGAATTTTATATAGTCAGCTAATCATTTTTTAATGATCTCTCGCTATCCACTGGGCCAATTTGGATAATCTAACTACTATTAAATGCGTCTCAATAAGCTCTACAACTTTCAATTAATGGACATGTATCATTAACTTAGTAAGAAAAATTTAAATAGAAGATGCCACATTTTGCCTATTCTCTAGTTGACAGGTGAATTATCAATTAAACTCTCTCTAAACTGAACAAAATCTTCTAGAATATTTGTAAATTTTATTATAAAGTTCAGATAAGCCATATATAACTTTTTGAAAACTGAACTTTTCCAAATTTTTACATAGTAAAAAAAAGCAGTCCCAGCAGTTTAAATTAGAGAGAGTTAACTATATATTGTTGTATAGGCAATGATAAATAAGTATAATATTGAAGTGGTACTTCAGTATGACATGTGACATGATGATATGGTATCTGAAGTACTAGGATTAATTTCTGTAGAGGTGCTCGCCATTTTAAGCTTAGTTTTCATAGCTGCGCAGGATACTATAGCCTGTTCTGTATGTTCGGTCTAGTTGTTATAAATCTGGTTTTCTGCGTAACTGAGTTTTTTATTATATATAAATTTATAAAAAAAACATATAAAATTACTATGGGCTGTGAATCCATAATATTTCTTTCTCTATATATTAATTTAAAATTAAAATTTTTGGGAATAAAGAACAAGGGGAAAAGAAAAAATTGAACTTAAAAATCAAATTAAATTTTGCTAATTTTGTACAAAATGAAATGTAACTTCACCAAAAACAAATATTTAATGATTTTGAAATGATAAATACGGTATATATAAAATCATGTCCTGAACAACTTTACTTAGGTGACCAAAGTAGGTTACCTTGTAAAAAAAAATGGTTTACCTATATACTAAAGTAAAATTTTTTGAGTATTAATATAAAACCTCTTTTTTTATTAAGATAACCTACTTTGAGCGCTTAAGCAAAGTTGTTCAGCACCCAAAGTAGGTTATCTTAAATAAAAAGGGTTTTATATTGAAAATTCAAAAAATTTTATTTTAGTATATAGGTAATCCATTTTTCTTACAAGATAACCTACTGTATATTCCTAAAAATAAGCTACTCCGAAAATAAGCTACCCCTCTAATTTTTTTCAAAAATCTCCAAAAACGCGTTGACAGTTGCTGTATATAAAACTTTTTTTTACCAAGTAAACTTCAAAAGTTTGATTAATTAAAGTTGTTCAGCGCATCAAAATACACTTATAGTAAAAATTTGGTGTCATTTGGACAACTTTTTATTAGTACGTTTTTCAATTTTTTCAAAAATGGCTATACACTGAAAATAAGCTACCACGTTTTTCGTATAATTTTTGCCCAAAAAAGGTAGCTTATTTTCAGAAATATACAGTACTAGTGGTTCTTTAAATTTTCGTCATTCTCTGGTAAGGCAGAGGTTTTTTCTTGCATTCAATTTTTTTTAGTGTTTCTTGTTTTGTAATTTTTTCTGGTGTTTTTTTAGATGCTCTTCTGGTGAACTTGCGTTATTTTTTGGTGATTCTTCGTCATTTTGTTTTAGCTGGTTTTCAGTGAATTTTTGTCGTTTTTTGGTGATTTTTCTCGAATTTGTCTTGCTTTTTTTTTTTTGTGCATACTATTAACTTTTTTGTATTAGGTAGTTTCAGTGAAAAGTCATTTTCTGGCGATTTTTTATCAAAATTGCAATATTTTTTGGTGACTTTTCTTTCTTAGCGTTTCTTGTGTTTATGTTTTTTTCAATATTTTTTGTGCTTATATTTTTCTTGGTATTTCTATTTTTTGTGCTCACTACTAACTTTGTTTCTTGTTTTTAGGTGCTTTTCCATTCGTTTTTTCTAGTAACACTTCATTAAATTTCATCGTTTCTGGTAAGTTTTGTTTTTTTTTCTTATGATATTTTTTGTATTTACTACTAACTTTCTTTCTTGTTTTAGGCATTCTTTCAATGGACTTAGTGCTATTGTTTCCTGGTGATTTTTGTCAACTTTATGTCATTTTCTGGTTATTCTTTATTGACTTTGTGTCATATTCTAGTGATTCTTTGTCGATTTATGTCACTCTCTGGTGGGTTTTTTTTTCTTTCTTTCTTCATGATGTTTTTTGTATTTATTTTCTTTTTTTTGGTATTTTTATGTTCAAAACTAATTTCTTTTTTGCTTTAGTATTTCTCCAGTGTTCTTGTCTTTGGGTAAACTTGCATTGTTTTCTGGTGATTCTTTAACAGATTTGTATCATTTTTTGGTAAGTTGTTTTTTTTGTATTTTCTGTAATTATTAACTTTCTTTCTTGTTTAAATGTTCTTCTTGAGTTCCTTTTCTTGGCGATTTTGGATTTCTTGCACATTTTTTACTATTTTTTTTTTCTTTAAGCATTCTTCTAGTGTTCTTGTTTTGGGTGAACTTGTATTGCTATTCAGGAATTCATTTAGTAAGTCTTGTTTTTTTTTGGTTTTTTGTGTTTTCTGTGTTTATTAACTTTCTTCTGGAGTTTCTCTTTTTGGTGATTTTGAATTTCTTGTGCATTTTTTTCTTTCTTTAGGTGTTCTTTCGGTACTCTTGTCCTTGGGTGAACTTGCGTCATTTTCCGAGGATTCTTTGGCGAATTTGTATCATTCTTTGGTAAGTCTTGTTTTTTTTATATTTTCTGTATTTTATTAATTTCTTTTTTGTTTAGACGTTTTTCTGGAGTTTCTCTTGGTGATTTTGGATTTCTTGCGCATTTTATGCTCTCTATTGACTTTTTTTAGTTATTATGTTTTTTTTAGTATTTTCTTTAATGATTTTGAATTGTTTAGTTTTTTTTTTCTTACTATTTTTTTTTACAAGTATTATTAATAAAATATTGTTATTATAATGTAATGGTTTTGTATATTACACAAATTAGTAAAATAAATTTATTATCGATTTGTATTAATGGGTCAGAAGGTTAGATGCTCAGTTTGACCTTAATTGCCTGTCATTTGCTAAACTTTGATTGGTCAATCAAGGGGGTGCATGACTATGCAGGTATATAAAATTTTTAAACCTATTAAAAAATTACTAAATATTTTAAATTATATAAAAAATATACAAATAATACTAAAGTATTTTAAAAAATTTTGGTTATTTTTATTTGATAATTTTTAATTTTTTAAAATAATTTACTTTTTTTATTTAAACTATTTTTGCAATATTTTGTAAAATCTTTTGCAAAATTTTAAAATTTTTAAAATATATAAAAAACTGTATATAAAGATATATTTTTATATCAATCCTACAAGTATCCTATATATAATAGCCAATTATATTTAGAGTTAGAAAATTTTCTTTTGTGTTTTTGTATTATAAAAGTTAAAAAGTTTGTATAAAATTTTAATTAACCAATAATAAGCAACATATTATCTATTATATACTCAATTTTGATTGGTTATTCATAGATCACTATTGTAACATATCTCTATAAAATAACATCCTTATTTTAAAATCAAAATTTTAAAATACTTTGTATTAATTACAATTCATTAAAAAGTTTTGGTATACAAATTTTTTAGTGAGATTTTATATATATTTTGCAAACAAGGGGGCATCCATAAATAATGTTATATATCCCCTCATATTAGCGCTTAACCCCTCTACTATATAAAAAAATTTTTCAAAATCCGCATGTCTATATATAAAATTTTACAAAAACTTGAATATATTGTGATACAGTGATCCTATTTGGATGATTTAGGTACCATTCGATTCGTCTCAGTGAGACGAATCAATGTTACCAAAATCATTTCATTTGGATCACTGGATTAATAGTTATTTACAAAAAACTATTGATTTTATAGTCATTTTATAAGAAAACATAATAACTAATAGTATTTGGCCAATAACTTATGATTCAGTGATCCAAATGAAATGAAATTAGTACTATTCGACTCCTCTCACCGAGACGAATCGAATAGTACTAAAATTATTAAATTTGGACCACTTGATTAGTTTTTAGATGATTTTTTCTAAAAAAATTATGTTATATTTTTTTGACACCCTCTACTTAAGAGGAAAAATGTTATATTTGTCAGACCTCCTGCCCCCTCTTTGTATAATATTATTTCTAGATGCTCCCTAAAAGCTAAATACTAAGAAATTTATAAAAATAAAAATTTTGTTTAAGGTTCTTTAATTGTTTGTTAGTTTTATATATTTTAAACCAAATAAATAATTTTAATAATTTAACTTTTTATTAATAAATTAAAGAAACTTCTTTTAATTTATTAAACTTAAAAAATTACTTATTAAATTTTTTTAATTTTAGAAAACAATTCTAACCAATTATATTATTATTTGAATAAGTTTTTTTTTAATTTAAAGAACATATATAAAACTAAAAAAAATAATAAATATTAAATTACGATCTTTTTAAAACTATATATTATATAGACCCTGCGTTGGATAGCACAGTGGTTAGTGCTCCAGGATTATATTCGCAAGGTCGCTAGTTCAAGTCTAGTGGATGACAAAAACCGTGCTGGGACCATGAATAGCAAGGATCTATGATGAGGAACCGTACTTCTCTTCTATTTACGGATATGGTACTACAGCTATAAGAGCTGCGTGACATAGCTACCTTGGTTATGTGGCACCCAGAAAAGGGAAAAACCTGATAAGAAATGTCATAAACATAAGGACTATTCACTATAAAAAAGAAAATAGAAAATGTGTATGTAAGGCATATCTGATAATGCTATACCGATCGAAATGGAAATAGCTTCTGGAGTAAATGAAAAACGGCCTACCTATAAAGCGATTTGGCAAAAATTGACTTCTTTAAAGCTACCTAGGATCCAAGAGGTACAGAGCACCGACGTCGTGGACCTGCTAGAGTCAGCTGAGATAAACGGACACTTGGTGGGGATATAGCTTAGTTAGAAAAAATCTCTAATATATATAATATAATGTAAGACCTTTGAAATTTGAATAAAGAGCGCCACCCGCACCCCTAACAATAGAACTAGGGTTAGTAAAAAAAAAAAAAACTATATATAGGGTGTAATCAATTAAAACAGCCCATTTTTACATAGAACTTATTTTGAAATAATTGAGTTTAATCATTTGTTTTGATTTTCAGACTGATCCGGGATTAATCAAATTTAACTATTTTGATTGGTTAAAGATAGCATGTGACTATATGGTAATTTCATGATGTGCTAGCTCTACGCAGCCTCATGTAATTTTTTTTTTACATTATCTTGATTTTTATTATACATATCGACTTTCATTTATAATTATTAAAAAATGTTAATCATGTCGAAATTTATATGAATCTAATAAAAACTCATTTTTTAAAAAATTGTAAAAATGGGCTGTTTAATTGACCACACCCATATTATCTGTTATTTAGTATTATAGCTTTAAACAAACTCTATAAAATATTAAAATATAAAATTTTATATATATACTATATTATATTTAATATTTTGTTTAAAATTAAGAAAATAGTTTTTTGCTATATTTTATATATAAATTAAGGATTAATTCATGATTCGCCTATAGATGATAGAAATTATATATGTAATATATAGTAAAAAGTAGGAATAAGTAATGATAAGTTTTTTAGTAAATGTTGGAATCTGGCTGTTCCTCCTTCTAAAAGTTTTTCTATCAAGTAAACTTTTAATGTGCATCTAATAAAAGTTGTACATCAGCAAATTTTATATATAGATATATCGATTACTAACTGGTAAGATATATATCGATACTCATCACCCTGTCGATTACTATCGATAGAAATAGTAATCGATAGATATCTGGTTAATACCCTGTCGATTACTATCGATAGTGATAGTAATCGATATATATCCGGTTAATTGATATATATCAAATATGATATCAATTAATAATTATTATATTCACATAATCATACTTTTTGCAAATTTTTAAACGTTTTACAGGTTTTCACAAGTTTTCACAATTTTTTAATATAAAATTTTATTTTTTTTATTTATTATTATTATATTTTAAAATATTACATATTTTATTATAAATTATTATAAAAAAATGTCAAAAAA